GTTGAAACTCGCGAAGACTTAATTGCGGTTTCGGGGTATCCCCTTGGATTGTGTAGTAAATTATCGTGCCTCGTTAGTGTTTCTGTGGGTTTCGTCTGTGTAATGCTGTATCCTCACAGAGAAACACCGTCTGTGCGCTTCCATCCGGGTCAAAAAAAGTTAAAAAACAAAACATAAACAAAACTTCATAAATAAATTTTTATACCGTTCAGTATTCCTATATAAAAGCGTATCTGATTTAATTACTGAATTATATTGATCACATGACTTTTTAAAATTAACATGTGTTTACCTATCGCGCTCCGGTTTCCTCTGTTATACTTTCCTCATTCGGTGACCATTCTTAAATAATCAGCTGTAGGTGTCGCTCTTGAGTTCGGAATAACTAAAACAGACAACTACGAAGGCGTAGAAGTGTTTTGTGCTATTGTTCTGTCTCGCTCTAATAACATGTGTACTTTTCTTCCTCCGAATACTTACTTTGCCCTCGTGAATCGCGGTTCATACCGACAACGCCCTCGGGAAGCAGGAATAATCTCGTCTGAGACGAAGCAAAAATAATCAAGAAAATGAAAGATTCAATTTTACAACATGAGCAATAAATGTACAAACAGGAACTTATTTACAAAAGACAGTAGGAGTATACGTAGGTAACTCACGGTCGTAAGCGTACAATTTTAACAAAACATGTCAATCAATATTGATATATAGTGTAGAGTAACTTGATCGATACACCGAGTGACTTTAATTAAAGAGGACAACGTATCTAGCCTGTCCTTTCAGGGCTAATGTAATGATCCCTTCTGTTACAGAAAGAGGAGAATTTAGCCAAAGAAATAGCAGGCTATGTCTAGGTCTTTTATAACAAAGGGGGCATAACTCTGTCTAACCTCAACACAATAGGCACGTGTATGTTGATAAATTACAAAGCACACGAGACCTTTAAGATCTACATTCAGTAATTTCAGAAAAAATGCATATCGATGATCATTTTCAGGCTTTCCTGGAGATTCTTATTGACCCATTTCCGACAGACAGATAATTCATAACCTCAGGTTCACCGGACTTGTTTGTTATTTTCCGTATTCGAGGCTGAATGAGGAAACAAACAGCATGTCTAGATCTGTGACAAATAAGTCTTGTTTTACGTATTGTGTAGGACCGCAGCGTCTCGTGTCTATTTCAATATATTGAAGCTTCGATATACAAATGTAACGTGTTAGCTTTACTTATTAACCTTCAACATTAGCACAGCCTTCTGCGCCTGGGGAATTTGACCTGGTGTCGGGGAACAAGATATTTGCTATATCTCGAAACCTTGTACTTTAATTGTTTTATATAAACCGACACAAAAAGCTAAGACATGATTTAAAAGTAAAATTAGGTGAATAAAACGAAATGATTCCAGGGTGGTTGAAAAATACTTCAACTTGGATATTAATTTAACTGACAATATCATGCAAACACTACAAGTTCTCGAATATATTTATCGTCAAGCAAAAAATCTCAAATCGCAACAAGCGCGACAACCCGAGTAGCCATGCTGCTAATGCTATAACCGGAGTAGCCATGCTTGTCGGTTTTACATAAGGAATTATCCTTGGGTCAAAGACTTAAAACTTGAATTAATTTTATGTTTGTTGAAATATCTTTTTCGAAATTCTCAGGACAACAGGAATAAAACTTCTATTTTTATTCTCGTACACTTGTACATTATTTTTTTAATTTTTGACAAAGTATGCTCATTTTCCAGTACATAGGTAATGGAAAATGCCAGGTTTCACAAGAAAATGTGTTTTAGAGAAATCGCCAAATTTGTATCGCAATTCGTTGGTGAATAATCGAACATCGAAAAATTCAAGATGGCGACTACAACTACAGCACGCGTACTGGAACAAACCTTTAATCGTTAAACCTCCGGTGAAAAGTGTGAGAAGATTGATATTTGCACTCGTTATGGGAAATGTCATAGACCCTCGACTAACGCTTTGACATGATTTGTAAATTTTCATATTTTAAAGAGAAGACTTTGCCTCTTAATGATTTTATAAGATATGGGCGTTTTCTTCTTTCCACTAATTTTCCGAGTCACGTCCAATAATTTTCGATTGATAAGTCACTGTTATTTGAATTGTTAGGGCGATTCACAGGTCTCGTTGTAGAGCAGCATTCTGGCCAGAACAGATTTTGTAATATTCTTCAGACAAGAGGACCTTTGTAGTTTTTTTTTGGAGAGGGTTTCAATATTTCTCTTTCAGCAGTAGAAGTCAGTGTTTCAGGGAACTTTTTATTTGGTCGTGGAGTTTAGTGATCTATCTTCTGTACATTCCTTCAAGTACACGTGTTGCAATCACATCCAAAATAAAATCGAAATGCTGTGGACATATCAATCGCATTATTGTTGTGACCATTCTTTTTTAAAAAAAACATTATGAATTTATTTCATGCTGCTGAATCGTGCGTGAAGGTTGTGCGTTGACCGCTAGCCGTGACCCGGAAGTATTTGTTTGACGCTGGTCAAACACCCATATCTCTTTTTCCCCTAAAGACGCTGTTTCGTTGCCAGTAAGATAGACAATTAGTTATAAAATACAACGATTCTTTTTTTATGAAATTTAATATTACAATGAAGTAATTGTGGTCTTAGTTCAAATAACTATTAAGTTCATGTAACATGATCAGCGAGACGCTTACAGTGGTAAAGTGGTGCAGTGCAAGAAACCCAGTGAGAAAGATAAAAACAAAAAACACACACACCATTATAATAATAGGGCCAAATAAGTAAACCGTATCTTTGCAGGCATAAAATACAGATCCGACTCTATCTGGACCTTTTTGCAACCATTATGCATGGATGAATCTCAGTAGCGTAGCTGCCTTAGGTTCGAGTAGGCACGTGACATAGTTTTGTCAAGTGTTTGTTTTAAGTCAATGTAAATTCAAAACAATGAATTATGTTTTCATTAATTGAAGATTACATTATATTCAGAATGTTTTGTATAGGTCTAGTACAAAGTACGGAAATCCTGTTTTAGATTCTTTTCAGTCAAAAAGATCTTGTAATGCACATACATGTGATACAACTGTCAAGTCTATATTAAACGATGGTAATAACGCAACGATGAACAAGTTCGAAGTCCGGAAAATTCTAAATATCAAAACTTCTGAGACCCAGTCAGATGATCCCCTCGCAGTGGCACTGTCTCGTCTTCCAAGGTTTTTCAAAGCAATACGTCGTTCTTGATTTGGCACGCGTAGGGTTTCAATTTATATACTAAACCTTTATGGCAAAACGACCCCGATGTGCAAACCATAGTCAATCTGCACGATAGGCATGTATTTTTGTCTGCAGACAAAGCATCTTATACTTGATCACCAAGTTAACCGTACATATACCCTTACCAAAATTTCAAAAGACAAAATTCTAGCTAATCATACTTCTGTATTACAATCTTTCCGACTGTCCATTTATTTGGATAAGGATACGGACCTGCCTTGTTTGTGCTGGATTTCGAAATTTGCATATTTAATTATAAAACGCAAAGATATACTTATCAATTGATTTTATTCAAATTATAAAACTGCTGTCTTGAAACTAAAAACATATACATTTATCAGCCAATTGTTCAAGTGCCAACACAGGATTTACATCCCAGCTACGCCCCGGAATTGATGTATGATAAGCTTCAATTAAGATTTTGTCATCGATGATATGGTGTTCCCGCTAAATAATTTGAGTTAGTTCCCTTTGATCGAACAGTATTGGACACTACTTGCTGGTGTCATCTTCGTCTTTTTAGTATTGATTCCATACCGTCATAAAGGCGATTACATGTCATGCTCCCGACAATGTACTTTGTACAATGGGAAATGTGAATAGAGAAATGTTTTTTTTTTTTATTTGAATATAAAAATATGTACAAAGTGCTGGTCTAGAAAAGAGTGGAGAAATGCTGAACGTGAAAGCATTAACATGGTCAGCAGATCGAGACGGCTAAATTCAATATATTGCTTACAATTATAACTTTATTGTAGACAGAAATTATATATTAATATCTTACATTAAGTTAAGCGGTGCTACTCTCGACAACGGAAAGTTAGGTAAATACGACTTTGAACTTATATATTAAAAAAGTGTTTAATTTTAATACACCCCTGTGACCACAGAGAAAAGCCTAATACCATGTTTGGTTGACACTTAATTCTATTTAATCCCAGGTAGCATTTTGACAAATATATCATAATACTGTCCCAGGTATATTCTTCGACAAGACATAGAGATTCTGGGTTTTTTCCCATGTGGTCACTCTGACATTTGATAAGCATCAATATAATTTATTTTCTGATCGTGTTTGCACTCTATATAAAATCAGGCACTGATTAAATAGCATGACCATTGGAAGCTGAGCGGATGCTTTTAGATGTTTTATCAATCATTGCCTTTGTTGAATTTTGACTCCAGCTCTCAAAGTTGACCTTTGACCACAGCACAATATATAAGAAACATATTTCCATGTCTGATCTTCATAACAAGCTCAAATACCAAGGCTTTAGACATTTCGACTTTATATTATTTTAACAAATTTGAGTCATAACACCATGAGAGTAAGCCGATGCTGTTACACTAAGCAAATCGATACCGCTCAATCACAGAGTAGCATGTGACCAAATATCATGACTCTTGGTCTTTAAGTTCTGTAGAAGAAGCTGTTAAAGAAAAAGGTTAACAGATTGATGACAGACATCATACCATAATTAGCTCAGACATTTAGTTGATACTGTAAATCAATTTCACTCAGTGTGTAATTATTTCTGGAACTCTCGAATTCGAAGATTGGAAGAACATTATAACAATATGTATTTGCAGAGTATTTAAATTCGCGACTGAGTCTCCTCGCAAGTTTACGCGAAAATTGATCACTCGCAAAATAACATTGATTTACAGAACTACTGTTGTATGTTTCTGAAATACAAATAAATAAACAAACCAAAGACCACAGTACGATCGTGTGAACACTTTTAATGCCCTTATATCGACATCTCACAAAGTGTACGCAGTCTGCATAATATGTACAAAATAAATAGTTATTGGAATCACAGATAGGCAATACATATATATTAGACACGTCCATCTCACGCGCGCACGTGCACTCTCTCTGACATTCGATATAACTTAAGATATATTTTATATAATGCATAAAATGTTATGATATTCATAATATATGGGTGTATAACGACATTACAGTCACACTTCAGGATAAAGCAATCTATCACACATTAGACACCATCTACAGTTAAACACGCACGTTTTGATACATACTTATTCAAGCTTCAACTAGCAGACAAAAAATCTTCAGGCAGACATTTTCGTATTCGGCAGGCTAGATTTAGTTCGTGAAGATAGTAACAGACTACGACGAATGTCAATTTATAGGGAAAAAGAAATAGATATTATAATAATTATAATCGGAAAAGTTGATTTTGCGATTAAGTTCTGCGTGTTAAAACCTCAAAAATAAATATTCGCGGATATATAAAGTGACAAACAGTATGTGAACACAAACAGTTAGATCAATAGGTTGAATAAAGCGAAGCACACATCTGACCGGGAGTTGTAACGCACTATGCAAGGGAGGTAACTGGAGACGATATATTGGGCACTAGATTTAACAGCAGAGTGATAACATTGTGAATGCGTTGAGGATACTAATCTTCGTTCTTTCAAACGCTGTCTCATATCATGATCAGTAAACTCGAATGAAATTACACCCCTACTCATCAAACTGGCGCCCGAGGACGTCCCGAGAATCAGCCGTACAGGCCCGATGTGAAGGTCTATCACGAGATGAGATGTATCTATTGCATATTTTTATGTGGCTCGATTTTTAACCTTTAATGAAAATCGGTATTGCTAACTTTGATTACATAGTCTTCGACATTTCCTTACAGAATGATAGCAGGACAATAAACGTATTCTGTCTGAAATCTGAATCTTCTACTGAAAGTTTACCACAGATATAGAACGCACGTGCTCAACAGGTAAATTTAAAAGTTGACGATAAAACGATTTCCCTATCTATAAATTGGAATACAAATTTAGAGACCAAACGTACGAATAATAACTCGACGATGGTTAGATAAATACATCTATGTGTTTTAATATAAAATGTACGTGTCCTAGCGATTGTAATGTCCAGTACACCCTGACAACCCTTTAAATACACTTCATACATTTAAAGTAGTAAAGAAATTGAATGAACTATATCAGCACTAAAAATATATCACAGATATACAGATTAAGTTTAAATCATTGTTGATAAAAATAAGAAAATGCCGCTCGTTCGATATCTTTCCATTTGATCATAACCTTTATTAATTCATTTCTATAACACATAATGGCAGCTGCTCAAAAATGACCAGTCGATTAAAAATTAAAATCAAGTGATAAAAATAATCAAAAATTGAAGTAAACATAACTGTATGTTTATACAGACGTAAAGAGGAACCTCGCTAGTCCGGACTTTAAGTATAACCTCGATAGTCCGGATTTAACATGGAACCTCACTAGTCCGGACGTTTAATAGAACATCAACAATCCGGACTTAAATGAACCCTTGTTAGACCGGAAATTAAAAATAACATTCTTTATCTAGATATAACATGGGACAACGCTAGTCCGGAATTGCGAAGATTTTTTTAATCCGGATATTAAGGGGACTTTCTAGTCCGGACGTTTTGGTTTCCGTGTGGCATTCACCACGTTCCACTAAATCGTAGCTCAAAATAATCCCCTCAATGTGGGCTCTCGACTTATTTCCATTGTTTGCCGTCATCTTGTATTTTGACCATTCTACGAAAGCACGGTTTTCAATTTCAATTTGCTCGCTATTTTCACAGAAAGGTCAAAATAAAATATGGCAGATTATGCAAATTAGCTCACTGGCCTTATTTTGTCGTATAACTGAGAAGTGACGACATGGAGTACGTGAATACAGTTGCAGGTCACTTTGCACTGAGGTCACATGACAGGAATGAAATACAGTCAACAACAGTCGGCTAATTAAGCGGATCGTAACTTGATATCTAGATCTGTAGTGGCATTAAATAAGATAAAATAGTTATAGAAATCAAAAATATACTTAAATACTCTAAGGAATGAACAGTCTGGAATGTGCAGGGTCTATATAATTACGTATTCACTTGAAGTGTTTAAACTTTCCCAAACACAGTTCAGTTCTAAAAGTTCGGGGTGGGGGGAAAATATCTGTAACAAATTGGTCGATTTCCGCGCTGAATATTTGCGAAATCTGTTGAACTTGGGCATAGAAATAAAACTATCATCTCAAATGCAAAACAGGACATTCCGATCTTTTAAAGACATTTGGGGTTCAATTTCTTTTCTTTTCATGCATGACACAGTTTAACAAACAAGTCGCGAAATGAAAGGTTTCTGGTGGGCTATTCTAGTGGGCTATTCTGACAAATAATTGAGGATCTACATTTGCTGTTTGAGGAAACTAAACGTTTCCGGTACAGCGACACAACACAAGCGGGGAGTTGATGTCCAACACCAGAAATTGCATACATCCAACAGTTCGGCAACAGTTTAATTATATATAATATCACTCCAATACTGAACATCACACATAATCATCGTCGTCCCCGACGGTACAGGACAGTGTGTTGGACGAGCTAGACAGACTACCTATAGACACTGCGCGGACGAGTTTTGGTGTCCGAGTGTTCTCCCTTTGATTGTTAAGAAACTCTTTCCTTCCGGTTGTCAGAGGAGTGGATAATTTTGGAACCGGCGTTTCCGTACCGTTCCGGGTTGTTCCATTATATCCGTTATAATCCAACTGATCATGGGAAGAATATTTTGATATTTCACCACATAGGTCATCACTAAAGTCGTAAGTCTGCGACAAATCACCATTAGAAATTCTTTTATTTGGAGAAATATTTTCTGAATTCGACGATGATAGTAAATTGGAAACAGATTTTGACTTCCCTACCGCTGACAGCGATTTCGGTGCCGGTATTCTAGATTTAGGTCCGGATTGTTCGTCCTTCCTTGGTTTTGTATTTATGAGTTCCTTAAGTTTAGACACTAACATGCTTGTATGATCATACGCACTACGTTTGATACTTGTTTCCGGCGCAGGCGCAGAATGCGCACTGTTGGAGCTTGATCTCCGTGATGCAGATGTGCGCGTGGGAGTGCTGGGCCGGGGCGGCATGGAATTTGCCCGTGTGAACTGTCGATTTGTCTCCCCGTCCTTTGGTGGGAATGACGGAGTCTTTGGTCGAGAAGGAGTTGAGGGTGTGGAGCCCCGGTTACTTGTTGATGGGGAACTTTTATATGACGACTTTGAACTTTTCCGTTTCACGTTTTCGTTACTGTCCAGTGAACATACGTCACCACTGGCAACATCTGAGTCCTCCTGATCGGTGCTTATTTTCCTCGTTAGATCACCGTGGCCACCAGGGGTCTCGTTAACCGATGCTCTGAGCTCCTTCGCTTTCAGTCGTCGGAATAATTCGTCCATTTTAGCGTACGCATCAGCGTCCTCTGGCGGAGCGTCAAGATCAGAGAGGTCAACCTCCTTCAGACCGTTGATAGGGAGAGACAGTGCGGCTTTAATCTCCTCCAAGGGACGCGATTCCAGCTCGTGCTCATGAATACTCCGAGGATTCGGTGTTTTACAGCGTCTGTATACTGACTTCGGGGGCAAACTTTTGGTCGGGGTTTTTGCCTTTGTGTTTTTAGCGGCAGACTCGACCCATGCCTCAGTTCGATTATTCACTATATGAGCACCATTCTCGCCTCGCCGAGCGATAAGGACATTTTCCTCTGCCTTCTTGGCGTTGGCAGATTCTGGGTCGACACTTCTGGGTCTCGTACGAAGAGATGTCGATGTTGCCGTCATGCCACGAGCTCGTGACCTTGACCTTTCTATATCTTGGGTTGGTCTTTGGTTTTGTGACGCCGTCGACGCCCTCGCAATGATTCGGCCGCCACTCGGTCGAGGAGTCTTAGTGTCCTTGGCGTCACCCAAGGACAATACATGTCTTCCGCCAGACCGATTTACAGTCAGAACTGTTTCTCCCTCCATCGAATTCTGAGCACTCAGAGACCTGTGTTCCACACTGGGCGTGCGTGCCCTCCGCTGTGGGACAGGGCTAGCAGGAACGTTCCTGGCTCTCGGTTCAACGGCCCCGTTACCGTAAACATCACTGGGACTTTCTTTTGCCGACTTTTGGGACGCCATACTAAAACTCCTGTCTCTGTCCCCTGGGCCAGGGGTTCTTGATCTCCGAGGGGTAACTACTGTAGAGGTCATTTGGGTCGGCCCGGGGGTTGAGGACCGTTTTGCAAGGAACATTTTAGTATAGGAACTGTTATTACTTGTAGTCGGGGTCTTTGATGTGTTTGTCGCGGACGGGGCCTTAGCTAGGATCGTAGCTTTTCTAGGCGTAGGCGGCCGTCCACTACCTGTTTGGGACACGTTATTCTGACCGGAATACGCCGGCTGTTTCTCCAAATTATGGATGGAGTCTTTTAAACTCGATAACGGCGTACAGGGTCGCGGGATAAAGGAAGGTGTAGAGGGGCGTGCCGGGGTGGAGGGGCGTGCTAACCTCTCATCGGGAGAATTCATCACAGGAACAATGGGAACTTCATCTGACGTAGATGACTGGGAATTGTTTGCTTTTTTTATGAGATTATCATCGAGACTTTGTGTCCTGTAGATTTTGTCTTTTAACACTGACGTGAATTCCTCCTTTGGAGAAGATTCTACACTTGATAAAGAGTTTTGACGGGAGGACCCGTAACTCCGCTCCACTGACGAACTTTGATAACTCCCGTCAGATCTTACACTTAACGAAACGTCACTTCCGGAAGTTGGCACTGGTTTAGGATCAATACTTCCCGAATCCAATTGTCGCATGGCCTGGTACGTTTTGGAGAAATGTGAGTCCTTATTTGATTCGGCTTCCGCAGCAACTTCACTTGTGATTGATACATAACTGACGTTTGGCGACGTCTGTTCCGGTTTTGGGGAGACATGCGCCGTCGAATCATAGCTCCCTTTCCGGTATTGCGCACTAGACGAACTGGCAGGTGGCGCTGTAGTTGAAGTGATGCCTGATTCAGTTCCGTATCGACTGGCGGCTAGGCGCGAGCGGATTTGCGCGATCCTTTCACTCCTTGTGCTGGGTATATCGGATGACAAGTCACTTTTAGAACTCGGCAATGTTCTGGTTGCTGATGTGTTTAAACCACTTTCACTCTGATCGTCCCCTGATAGCCCACACAACGAACTTGAACGCATTTCATTCCTCGTTTGCTCCCCAAATGTTCTGTTCAGTGAACTCGAGCACTGCTTCGTTTTAGTTTCATATGAAGTACTTGTAACATTCCCTATTGAACTATTGCTTGGTTCAACACGACTGTTTTGTAAGCGTGTTGGTGTTTTTGGACGACTGGTACTGGAAGGTCCGGCCGTCTGTCGCGTGACACCGGGTGATGGTCGAGGTACACTTCCGGTAGCCGGCCTAGAACCAGTTACTGGTGTTGTTGAACGAAACTGGCTTGTTGGTGTCTTGGGTCTAGACACTGAACTCCCACTTACTGGTGTTTTCGGCCTTGTGACAGAACTGACGGGTGTTTTTGGCCTTTGGACAGAACTGACGGGTGTTTTTGGCCTTGGAACAGAACTGACCGGTGTTTTTGGCCTCGGCACGGTACTGATCGGCGTTTTGGGCCTGGAGACGGCAGAAGTTTTTCTAGATGGCCTATCGAGTTCATAATACTCGTCGGTCGACTGAGTCGATTTGAGTATTTTATCTTGTCTGCTAGCACTTGTCCCTGTATCGAAACTTCTAGAAGCGTCTTTTCGATTCGCCCACGTTCTATACTTTTGAGTTGCCTCCCCTAGCAGAGGTTTTTTATTCGCACGCCCCGTATAGGTATGTTTAAAACTGTCCGTACTGCTTTGAGATCTTGGCGAGTCCATACTCCCTTCCGAAGTGTTGCCGTTCGGAACTGATAGCGCATTATTCAAGAGACTCTTAAACTCGTCCAATGTCATGGTGCTGATTTGGTCTAAACTTAGGTTGTTTTGGTTTGGCGTAGAACCTGACGTCACATCCGTTTCCTCGCTGTCGTTACCGGAGGAATCCATACTTGGTCGTTGTGGCAACTGACGTCTGTCGTCAAGTCTAGAAACCCTGCAACGACAATTACTCAGTGAGTACAAACATATCATGAAAAGACAGGAAATAAAAAATAATGATTTATTTCAAATCTAAAATTAATAACATTCAATTGACTGACATATTTGGTGATAAAGTTATTTAAATAAAACAAATAGATACAAAACAAAACATGATGATTTCTTCATTGTACAACTTTTCTTGAATTAATCATTAATTTAAACGCGTCGCGTTACAAAAGGGTAAATAATAAACAAGATTCGTTACAAAATTAAAAATCATCAACTACAACATTAAGGATAAAATCGATTTTTTTTTTGGAAGAAGTATGACATCAAAATCAAGATAATGAGGTCACCCGCTAACCGAGTGTACCTCCACTCAACACTAGGAGTATCAGACCGACAAGGCAATGTTAACACAGGTATGTCTCAACATCAGAAACTGACGTCATTGAAGGGACAGCATCATTGAAAACGGTATGCTTAAACATTTCAAGATGTACATGTTTGCCCATGTTGTACCTCATCCCTAATCCCCCATACCCCCATACCCCAATCTCTATCTCCCCCTCCCCCTCCCTATCCGCTTCTCCCTACCCACTCCCTTTCCCCAGGTTTGTTGATTAAGGAGAAACAGACGAGAAGAGGTTAGACAGGAGAGAACAGAAATTATAGACCCCAAGTGTTGCACTGGGGACAACAAAGTGAAAGCAGACGACACAAAATTAACCCTGGATTATGAAGGAGCCTCACATTAGTCGCCTTTTACGATATGCAATGGGATGCAGCAGGCCTACTATTTCCCCAAACCTACCCCTAGTATCTCACTATCCCAGACCTAGACAACACATTTACGTAAGTACCTTACCTGCGTCAGACGCTACTGCGTAAACAAAGTAAAAAACCACTGTATTGTTTACCTGTGTTTTATGTACCGAATAACCCCAGCGCTTTTAGATACACCGATGTATGTCGTTATAGTGACATTCTGTTTTGTCTTCCTTCTATACGATTTCGTCAGATTTCACGAGGTGTCAATAAGGTGAAATGCTTGACCAATAATTTGAGGGGTCAGTTTTACATCTCATGGTCACAATAACAAGAATCGTGTCGGGGTATCCATCAAAACAAACAATAATGTACAATAACCAGCAGTGACAGAGACAATAATGTACAATAACCAGGAATGACAGAGACAATAATGTAAAATAACCGGCAATAACAGAGACAATAATGTACAATAACCAGCAATGACGGAGACAATAATGTACAATAACCAGCAATGACAGAGACAATAATGTACAATAACCGGCAATGACAGAGACAATAATGTACAATAACCAGCAATGACAGAGACAATAATGTACAATAGCCAGCAATGACAGAGACAATAATGTACAGTAACCAGTAATGACGGAGACAATAATGTACAATAACCAGCAATGACCGAGACAATAATGTACAATAACCAGTTATGACAGAGACAATAATGTACAATAACCAGCAAAGACAGAGACAATAATGTACAATAGCCAGCAATGACAGAGACAATAATGTACAATAACCAGCAATGACAGAGACAATAATATACAATAACCAGCAATAAAACAGACAATAACTGTAAAACCTTGATATACTGGCGATAATTATCTATCGAGGTGTAGCGTTACAAAGGAGTCTGACGATAAATCGAGGGAGAAGTATAAATGAATCGTAAGAACACAGATAAATGGGACATTGAGCTTTGTTGGCAGTAAGCGAGGTGACAGGTGAAGTTAGGGACATTATATCGAGGTTTTACCAGCGTAGCATGCTGTAACTTGCAACCCGTTCCCCCTTCTTATAGTTTTGCCTGACTACCGAATTGTCAATGTAACTGATTGTTGATTTTTTGTTATTTCGTCAGTTCAAAATTTTAACGATGCCAAGCAAATAACGCCAGTCAAAACGACCAAAGAATTTCGCGCTGTAACGTTTTCGTCACTTTATTTTAGCAATACTTACGACGAAATAACGAATTACAAATTAATGATCATCGTAAATCTAGCCACTCTACTTTAGAGGCCCTCCCTTTCGCAATGTTCTTGTTTTGAAAACACCGTCATTATAAGAACACGAAGGTTAGCCATCTCAGAACCCCAACGCAAGACCACTCACTCTTTTCGACACCTTTCCTTTTTTTCATTCCCGCGAGAGAAAAAAAAAAGCTTTCAACTATTTACACCGAAACTTTAACTTAAAAAACCTGTACATTATTTTCATTAATATCGCGTGAAGGGAACCTATGGTTTTAATTCTGAACCATGGTGTATTTACAATAATGTTAGCCCATGATCGTGTGGTGTTTCAGTTCAGTATGTGTATATGCTAGGCTAACAAAGCGAAGTAATATATCCTCGTTTACAGTGTTTTGTAGTGGTGGTTGCCGAGCTTATTTGGCCAAAACGTTTTACCCTCGAACCAAACTACAACTATATCGTCTTCCGTGCTTTTAAAGGCTGGTTGAGTTTCTGCGAGTAAGTCACTCACCCTGAAATCTACATCGATATCAACGTCACATCTTTTGTTTTAGCGAATATACACAGGGGCTGGATAAATTTCTGTCTGTGCGGTTCAATAGAATGAATTATAGTAAGGTATACATGTTACTATAATGAATTTATACGATCTGTAAATTTTATATAATATAAAAATATATCAGGTTTGAAAGAAAGTACTGTCTGTTTAGGCCTTGTGAATTTTGATACCGAGTGATTTTTGACACTGAAACTATAAAAACGATCATAAGAAGGGATTACCTTTGTGTAGAAGGGTACGGTTCCTTTCTATCATAATCTGCACTTTGGATAGAAACATAGCTAACGTTTGGGGCCGTATTCCGGGGCTCTTCCCTCGCCACACAAGACGACCTGCTACTACAGTGTCCATATAAGGGCATCGCTGAGCCCCTTGGGAGTCCGCTTAGCACATCCATAATGTAATCATTAATCCACAAACATTAATCCGCAATCATAAATCCACTTTATAACCCACAATCATAAATCCAGGCTCATCATAGAGAGATTGATTGATTCCACTATGTAATTTGTTCGGGGTATACTGGGTATATAAGGCTGGGAAAAGCCGAGCCACCTGTACTTATCGTCTACGTAAACGATGTCTGTTCAAATCTAAAATGGCTAGGAATTTTAAATGTACAGGTATGTGCTCAGAATTACCTACACACAGGTAAATACAGGTAAGTATGTAGGTGTCGACCATGCCTACAATCTAAGATCGAATTCTTTGTCCGTGACCCATTCCAGTACATAGAAGAACGCTGGACCCGCGCCAGACGTCTCTTTTAAAAATGGCCGATCAGATTTTGAAGTAGTTTTGTCTGCCTTTGTATGTACTACCGTGGAGTGTAAAGTTGAAGCTTGTTAAGTCTCCAGCCAACACCATCTCAGATACTACCAGGGTTTGTTTTGTTTCGAATTCGGAATGTAAACGTGCTGTTTTGAGAGTAACTTTAGACCAGTTCACGACCATAATCACATTCATGGCTTGAACTTTGGTGTTTTTCGAAGTATTGAGAAATTAAAAATGTATTTAGGACAAAAATGACAAATGTGATATTAAATTTAGACAGCTTACGCTGGTCATTCAGGATTTGTTCTATACACATTGGACACTTTTAAACCCAAACTCCTTTTTCAAGAATTCCCTTTTCGGACACTTATGATTTTGATCCAAAATGTTTGATCGGAAAATAGTAAGCTTTTACCGTATTGGTCTCTGATTTTTGTTCGGAAGTGTTTTGTCCGAGGATGTTTGTCCGAGGATGTTTGGGAATGGTTGTCTGCCTGAGTTATATCTTTTGCGATACGGTCTTTGTCCAGGCCTCGTTGTCCAGTGTGTTTGGTGTCTGGGCGTAATCTGGGGTGCCCGGACCATTTACTCGTGTTACCTTGAGGTGATTGTGTTTTATTCCGGGTTGTAGTACACATAGCGTTCTGTTCGGGGTAAATTGGTATTGAAATTTGTCAGGAGATATTTAGTCAGAGGTATCTAGGTATTGAAGTTAGTCCGGTACGGGAGTGATGAAGGGGGGTTTGCGGGGCGGGGGGCTAGGAGACAAGAGTTTCTGGATACTAATGTTTACCCACGAAAATTTCGTCCGGGTATTAGAGTATTTAACAGTGGTATTCAAGACTGCTGACAACATGTAACATGGAATTCAGCACACAAGGTCGACATGTATTTTTCATTAATCTTTGAATCTGTGCCATAACACGGAATTAACACTAATAAAGCTGTTAGCGTCAACATCCGCATATTTACATGTAGGCGTCCAGTGTTATTGTGTTAGCGTTAGACGATTAAGTATAACAAGAATTCGACAGAGCAGACTTTCCCATGAAATATGTTGTAAATAAGAGCAGAGCCAACACGCTTCCGGCTAAAAACAACTACAACATATGCACTTCCGGCGATGGAATCTCCCTCTGCACATGCGTTCACGAGTACATTTTCTACTCAGGAATCCCAAAGCACCCAGAACCTTGACCCCCAACATGTACGTGGACAGTTTACCTTCCACTTACGGCTAAAGGAGTGGACGGAGACGCGAGATCATTTGTTACACTAACATTTAAACTAACCCTACTAACTTTTACAAAAAAAAACTAACCTATGAACAAAATGTTGACCACCTTCCATCATGTCACGTACAGTAACGCTTTGAGGTTGGTACCGATATCTGTGTTGCTTTATCTATTTTTAGTTGGTTTGGAGACATTCATTAATTTCACATTCCCCCGTGAAGTTTGGTCTTTTACCTACACTGAGTTAACCCGTACACGTGTATACCTACACTGAATTAACCCGTACACGTGTATACCTACATTAGTTTAACTCGTACATGTGTACACCTACATTGAGTTAACCCGTACACGTGTATACCTACATTGAGTTTACCCGTACATGGGTTTACCTACATTAGGTTAACCCGTACACGTGTATACCTACATTAGGTTAACCCGTACACGTATATACCTACACTGAGTTAACCCGTACACGTGTATACCTACATTGAGTTTACCCGTACATGGGTTTACCTACATAAGGTTTACCCGTACATGTGTATACCTACATTTTGACTACCGGTATAGATCGTGTATGGTGCTCTCTTAGGTATCAAAGCGTGGTTACATAACTAATATATTAGTTTATTGTGTCGAGACATTCGGCATAAAGAACGTTTAAATATCCCACTATAAGCTTGATACATAAGTTCCTGTTATATTGAGTTAGACAGTATAACGCAATAAAACAGACATTGTATACGACCAGCCTAGAACCGTTACAGAGGTCGTAAATCGTACGGTGAAGGGGAATACATTCGCTTAAAAAACTAAAGTATTCACAGTTTGTGAATTGTTACAAAAACTGTCTGTTTTGTATGTACAAAAACCAAACAAGGTTCTAATGTACACCCAAACCAAAGTGTCCAGACTAACAAGGTTCTACTGTACACACACACAAAACTGTGCAGACTGACAAGGTTCTACTGTACACACAAACCGAAGTGTCCAGACTAACAAGGTTCTACTGTACACACACACAAAACTGTCCAGACTAACAAGGTTCTACTGTACACACAAACCAAAGTGTCTTGACTAACAAGGTTCTACTGTACACACAAACCGAAGTGTCCAGACCAACAAGGCTATACTATACATACAAATCAAAGTGTCCAGACTAACAAGGTTTTACTGTACACACACACAAAACTGTCCAGACTAACAAGGT